GCTGTATGATCCTGGGCAAGTCACTTTACCCTGTTTGCCTCAGTTTCCTCATCTGGAAAATGAACTGGAGAAGGAAATGGCAAACTACTCCAGTATCCTTGCCAAGAGAACCCCAAAATGGGATCTAGAAAAATCAAATATGACTGAACAACGACAAAATTATTATTATGTGATGTGAAAGGAGTATGTTTATCATCAAGATTGCTTTTTTTGTCATGGAAACGTAATGACATCCAAGGACCCCCAACAGCCATTGGTGGTCCAGGTTTACCAATGAAATCTCAAATACTGAAGTGCCCCCCCCCTTTTATTTTAGGAATAGATTTGATTTTCAGATCCACTTTGCCCTGAAGTAATGGAACTATTAGGCTGACATCTTTTTTTTCCCTTGCTTTTTGGTGAGGCAGTCGAGGTTAAGTGACTTGCCCAGAGTCACACAGCTAGTGAGTGTCAAGTGTTTGCTCTGAGGCCATATTTGAACTCAGGTCCTCCTGACTCCAGGGCCGGAGCTGTATCCACTGCAACACCTAGCTTCCCTGTCTGACAACTTTAAAGAAGAGGCTTTACCATCTTTGCTGCTACTCGCCAAGAATCTTGACATTTCACCATCTGTCTTGCAGCTGAAACCTTTCAGGTGCATTGTCTACCCTGTTAGACCTTGAGCTCTTTGAGAACAGGGATTGCCTTGCTTTCCTATTTGTAGCCCCAGCATTTAGCACGTAATAAGAGCTTAATTAATGCTTTATTGATTCATTCACTCATTCCTGTCGTGCAAAACCCAAGTTCACTAGTCCCAAGGCAGGGATTCATTTGCCTCATTTCCAGGCTAGATTTCTTTTTTATGGACCATGCCTTAAACCCAAATCACTCTGGCTCTCATTGATTGGCCAACAATAAGCCCCAGCCCAAACCCCACTGGGTCATCCTTTGGCTTCTGCTGACTCAGAGTGAGCGTAAATAGCCATTGTTTCTGTTTTGGCCAAAAACCCTAAGGGTCTTCCCCTCCCAGATTGATTTTTTTTCACTAGGTCATTGAGGCCATTCTTTGTCTCCTTTTTACTTAGTCTTAATCACTGCATAGGCTGAGACTTGGGAAAGACCTTAGCTTAAAAAGGTCAAGGTCTCCTACTGCATCCAGGGCCATCTCCAGTACTCCTGATCTGTATCTTGCCATTGGACCCAGATGGTTGCAAAGAAGAGAGTGAGGCTGCTGACTTTGCACAGCCCTCCCTCACTTAAATTCAATTCACTTGTAAGTCATGACATCACCTTCTTGATGTCACAGTCCTCTCTGAGGACAAAGGACAAACAATAAGACAATTCTAACATGTTAAAAACTTTGTGGCTGCCCTACTAGAGGTAATAGTATCAGGATGTCCTAGCCCAAATCCCTTGTCTGTCCTTTGGGAAGACCTATTTCCTTCCATAGATCATCTTGGACTTCATTACAGACTTGGAAGTTCTCCCACAGTCAAAATGCCTTCATTTTGATGTTAGACTAAATTTTACTAAAATAACCCTTGTCTTCCCCTGGCCAAGTCAATCCAGCCCAACTGTTCCTCTGGGAAATATTCTGACTTCAGTATACTCACCCTTCTTACACCTGACTGAGAAACTCATTTCATCTTCTATTTTCGTCAGCCCTTGTGTCTGCACTGCATACTGAGGTCACTGTTTACCACATTCTACACCCAGACAGCCAGATAGAACCACCCAGATGTTGGGGCAGTATCTTTATAACTTCATGAATTACTACTAGTCAGTCAATTAGCATTTATTAAGCACCTACTATGTGCCAGGTATTATGCTAAGCAGTGGGGATACAAAGAAAGGCAAAAACAGTCCTTGTTCTCAAGGAACTCACGGTCTAATGGAGGAATCAGGTCAACTGGTCCACCTTACTCAGTTCTCCTGAATTTTATTTTAAGAATTCTATTCATACGCAAAATCAAATTATACTTTTCCCCACCAAAACACAGATTCTGCTCTCATTTCTTATTATCCTTCACAACTTAGTTCACTCTCCTGGCAGTCTACTGCTATCTGGAAGGGTTGGAAGCTGTTCCAAACAGACTTGCTTCACACTCTGGAGTGCATCAAGGCCACATATATTTATTTGTACTGCTGACCAAAACCAGACCCCTTGCAGGTTGAAGATCTGGGTTGGTTGTCTACCCAAAACAGCAAACCCTCCCAGAGGCTCAGGAAGCAGCCTGTCTGGTCCTTCCGGGCAATGTAAATGGTGAGTCTTGTGGCCTTTTGCTAAAGCACCCCAGTGCCATGGAAGTTCTTCCCAGTGATCATTGCTTGAGAAAGCCAACAGAGACCCTCTTCTTCACACACATACTCCAAAACCCCACCACTTCCTTCACTGGTGATTGATGGCCAAGAGGAATTTGTGGTCAAGGAAAAACTTGGCTGCCAGTGTCGATAGGTGTAATGCCAATATCTTGTGGGCTGACAAAGTTTCAGGCCAGATGAACCAATTGGGAAACCTTCTAAGAACCTTTGCATTCCTGACCCCATGTCTCATGGAGGCCCTTAGAAAGAAGGCGTCATGTCCTGGCTCTTTTATTAAATTCAAGGGCTTAGCAGGAGTGCTGACAGATGGGGCAGTGCTTACACATCAAAACTGCCAGCATGCCTGGACTTGCAAATACACCACTGGCAATCTTGATTTATAGTGGCTTGATTCCCAGTGTGACTGACTCCCGCTCACTGTCATTCCTTGGCTCTCAGTGGCCTGTTTTTGATCTCTGAACTTTCCTTGGTGGCAGCCATGTTCTTGGCTTTCTGCTCCCCCACTGATGAATCCCCTTGCTCTGATGCAGCCTGTATTACACTTTCTCCTGGTGGATGGCCTCTCTGGTTGTACTCCCATAGCCCCACCCTTGCTTCTCTGTGATAACCCCTAATTTTTTCCCCTGTGTTTGTAAATCAGCTTTTCATAGGCTAAGCTAATCATTAGTAGGCCTGTCTTCCGCTTGTATAGCATTGAGAGTTTTTCAAAGCCTTTAGGCATGTTTGATCCTTACAACAACCCCATGAGATGGGTAAGTATAAGAGGCATTATCCTCTTCTACATATGAGGAAAACGGAGAAGTTACATAATAGAGCTACTTAGTGACGGACTTGAGACTAGAATCAAGTTCTCTTACTCCTAGTCAAATGTTCTTTCCACCAGATCATGCTCCTTAAAATGGAATCCATTCACCAGTAACGGGAAGAGACCACATGGTTCCCTTAAAGGAGAACTGGATTTGGAGTCAGAGGACCTAGGTTCAAATCTTAGCTCTGACTCTTATTACCTGTGTGACCCTGGGCAAGTCCTTAACCTCTCTGGGCCTCAGTTTTCTCAATTGTAAAATTCAATATTAGATTAAATGACTACAACTCTAAATCTATGAGCTTGAGATGGTATTCAGGATCCCAGTTATTTCTTGTTTGCAATATTTATATTATATTATGTTATGTTATATATTATTTTATGTCATATCATATCTAGTTGTATTATATCATGCTAAATATCATATCCTGTCATGTTATATGTCTTATCACATTATATAATATATATTATATTATTATATTATAATGTTTTCATGTGGTCTCTCTACCTTATAATAATTATACTATTCTATTATAATGCATATGTTATATGCATTATATTAAATCATGTTTTATTATATATTACCATATCCTGTTATATTATATCATTTCATATATCATGTCATTTATCCATATATACATTATATTGTATTGTGTCATATTATATCATGTTTTCACATAATATTATATTATATCTTACCTACTTAGGTTATTATATTAATTCAAAGTGTGTTATGTTCTATTATATCCTATCTTGCACATTTAGATTATTATATTAGCCCAAAGTATATTGAGTTATATATATATAACTCATCATATCATTTTATATACCTAGAATATTTTATTAAGTCAAATATATACTGCTCCTCACAACAACTCTCCAAAGTAAGTAGTGTAATTATAATCTACATTTTACAGACATAAAAATTCAGGATTGGAAGAAAAGTTAAGCTCAGACTCAGGAGAAAAATACTTGTATGTAGCTGGTAATGACATGGACCATTTTTATTTCTAGCATTTTTTCCTGACCATTTCTTTTTTTAAAAATGGAAGGGAAATATACCAGTTGCTTACTGTCTCAGGGAGGGAGGAGGTAAGGAAGGGAGAGAGAAAATCTGGAAATCAAAATTTTAAAAAAGAATGTTAAAAATTGTACATTTTTACTGGAGAAAAATAAAATTATTTTAAAAAATAGGAGAAGTGATATGAGGATAGTGTCATTATCCTGCTTAGAGAATAGTACACAGTGGGTATAGCTCCTTACTACCCAAAAGAAATTTTGCTCCTATGTAGAAAATTGGGGTGATAGTGCCTGCACCTCCCTACCTCTGCCTAAACCTGAAAATCATTCTAATCTATAGATCTCTGTTCTGGGGATCAGAGAAACCAATAGATTGCATTTTCTTTTATTTTTAAAATTTGCTATGTACCAAGAACATTTCCTTTGTAGAGCACCTGAAAATTTTCCTGGTTTTGTTGTTATTGTCTTATTTTGTTTTGTTTTTTTGAGAACGGGTCTCCCTATCTCACCCAGATTGGATGAGCAACAGCCATGAGAACAGCCAATCACAGGCTCTACCTTACCACTGCTAGATACGGTGAGGTTTCCAACCTGGGCCACCATTTTGTCCCTCCTTAGGCCCTCAGGTGGTTCTCTTCTCCCTTCTCCAATCCTGGGGGACTCCTCATATTAGTGCCAGACTGAATGTGGACAAATGCTGGGCTTTGGCCCTCTTGCAGTTCAGAACTCTGGAGTTTAAATGATCCACCCACCTCAACCTCCCCTAGAGCTGAGATTTCAGGCATGCACCATCACATCCGGCCAAACCTTTCTAATTCCTAGAACAAGATTCTTCTTCTTTTGCTCTTAAAGTTTATTTTTGGTTTGTTTGTAGATCTGTTACTCGATTACGCCTCTCAGCCAGCCAATCATCAGTTCTCCAACGTCCCACCCTCTCCTGAAGACATCAAGGGCACTAGCTTTCAGACTGGAAATAAGAGGAGCCATGAGCCCTTTACTGCCCCAGAACGATTTGGAAATAGCAGTTTGGGCTTCAGCTGTACGTCATACCCCCACGCTCCAGAGAAGGTGACACTCCTTGTGGATGGCACTCGTTTTGTGGTCAATCCACAGATATTCACTGCTCATCCGGACACCATGTTGGGAAGGTAACAGGTTCCCCACAAGTTCACTCTGTTGTTTAGAGTGGGAAGAATGGTTATGCCCAGAATTATGCTGAAGCCAGATCAAACCAGAACCAATTGTTAAATTCAGTGAGCATTTACACCTCATAAATCCACAAACAATACAAATCAGGGCTTGATTTATTGTATTATTATCTAGACTTAAGAAAGTAATGGAGAAAATGTTAATAATGCAGATTAGACTTAAAGGTATGTTGGTGCACCTGGATGTTAAACATTTATTAGCATACCCCTGGTCATACCTATTATTTAATCTGCCCATAGAAATAACTACACACTTGCCTGTCTAAAGAGACTAGAAAAAAATGATACCAGTCTTTCTGAAAAATTATTTATGTCTTCATAACAGAAGACAGACAGAGCTGTATGTAAATAAGCATAGGGTTTTTTTTGTGTTCATATGCAAAACTTGTGTCACTGAATACATTCCCTAAAAGGAAAATAAAATACAGTTATAATGGTAGAACATAGTCCTGGAACACTAAGGTTTATTCTCTAATCCCCTCCAGCTTCTTCTTCGATAGGAGATCTGATCATCATGGGATCATAGATTTAGTGCAGAAAGGGACCTTAGCGGTCATTTAGTCTAACCCCTTTGCTTTACAAATGAAGAAATGGAAGCCTAGTGAGGTTAAGTTATTTAAGGTTAAGTTAAATGATTTATCCAAGATCACACAGGTAGTTAAGGGCAATGCCAAGATTCAAACCCAGATCCTTTATAACTCCAGCACTTCTCCCATTACCCCTCACTGCTTCCCATGTTTAGTTGCTTCTGGCCTCAGTTTCAACCACCTGTAAATCAAAGGTGGCACACTTGTCTATGGTTCAGTGCTACCCCTAGGAGGATGTGCAAGGGAGAGATCATCCCTGAACTCTGTGAGAAAGGTGCTGGAATAACCAATGTGACATGTGGCTTCATGCTGTTTAACTAAAAAAGGGAGAGTGCAACAAATGCCATACTTCTGCAAAGTCAAGTCAGCAGTGATTTACTAAGCTCTTAATATGTGCCAGATGTGCCAAGCGTTGGTGATACTAAGAAAGGCCAAAACAGTTCTTGCCTTCAAGGAGCTCACAAGCTAAGGTGGAAAGACCACATGCAAACAACTGTGTACAAATAAGATTTATACAAGATAAATTGGAGATATTCTCAGGGGGAAGGCACTGGCATTAAAGAAGACAGGGAAAGGCTTCTTGCAGAAAGTGGGATTTTTGCTAAGACCTGAAGGAAGCCAGGGAAGATAGGAAGGGGAGTCTTCCAAATATGGGGAAAAGATAGTGAGAATGTCCGGAGTGGGGAGTTGGAAGGTCTCGTTCGAGGAAAAGGCAAGAGGCCAGTGTTGCAGTATCTTAAAAGACATGGAACAGAGTAAGGCATAAGAAGACTACAAAGGTAGGAATGGGGCAGGTTAGGAAGGACTTTTTTATATTTGATCCTAGAGAACCACTGGAGTTTATTGAGTGGGGTGGTGACGTGGTCAAAGCTGCTCATTATGAAGATCACTTTGACAGTTGAGTGGAGGATGGACTGCAGTAGAGCAGGCAGACCGACCAGCATTTATTTATTGTGGCAGTTGTCCAGGCATGAAGTGATGAGGGTGCCTGGGTAGCGGCAGTGTCAGAGGAGAGGAAATGGGTATTTGCAAGAGATGTTACTTAGGTGGCGTTGACAGAACTTGGCAATAGGTTGGATATGGGGATGAGAGATAGTGAGGAGCTGAGGTGACACCAAGGTTGTGAGCCTGGGGAGCCGGGAAGATGGTGGTGCCCTTCTTAGTAATAGGGAAGTTAGGAAAAGAGAAGGGTCAGCTGGGAGAGAAAGGTGGGGAGGGAGGGGAAATGAGTTCAATTTGGGACATTGAGTATGAGGTTTTCATGCAACATCGAGTTGGACATGACATCGAGTTGGAGATATCCAATAGTCAGTTGGAACACATTGTACTGGAAGTCTGCAGAGAGGTTAAGGCTACAAATAGATTTGAAAATCATCAGCATAGACGCTGATGTAACTGAATTCATAGGAATCAATGAAATCACCAAGTGAAATAGTATCAAATGAAAAGAGATTGAGAGGTTAAGGGATTTGTCTGAGATCGCACAAGCAGTTAGTTAGTGGCAACGTCAAGATTCAGACCCAGATCCTTTGACTACAACTCCAGAATTTCTCCCACTGCCCCTCACTGCCTCCCATGATTTGTTGCTTCTGACCTTAGTTTGAACTACCTGTCAGTTGGAGGTGGCAAACTAGTGCAGTCTGGCAAGGAGGATGTGCAAGAAAAAGATTCATGAACTCTGCATGGGAGAGGTGCTGAAATAACCAATGTGAGATGTAGCTTTGTATTGTCTTGGTTCAACTTGAGAGAGACAGAGACAGAGAAAGATAGAAAGAGACAGAGACAGAGAGAGAGAGACAGAGACAAAGAGTCAGAGACAGACGAAGGTTCAGGGGGAGAAGGGGAGTGGGGAGGAAGATAGAGAAATGTCCTGCATACAACACAAACCCAAGAAAGCTTCCTATGGAATTCCTAGAATGTCGTTTGACATGCATCAACCCGAATCAAATGACAAAGATGAGATTTCACTTTCTGAGAGAGCCCTGTGATTTCCAAGTAAATGATCACATTTTAATCTAGAGAAAAGATCAGCTTTTTAGGGAGGTAATTTGCCCAGCCAGGCCACTGCTTCTCAGCAGTGGTAGGTCTCCCCTGTCATTTTCTAAACTCATCTTTACTGCTGAGTTATGTGAAATTGAATTTCTACACCTGTTTGTTGGTTTCTTTTAGAGTTCCTTTATTATCTGTCACCTTTGTCAATAACCCACATGCTATTTTTTCCTTTAAAGATAATTTCCCAACTTGTCCCCTTCCCTGTTTGCTTGCATGACATCTTTTTTTTATTTTAAAAAATGTTACATTTTTACACCACATTCTTTTCCAAATATATTTTCCCACCTTACCTCTTGAAGAAATATTTTTTCTTTTTTCATTGACAGTTTCCTCTCTGCTACATTCTTTGGCTAACTGGAAAAAGAAAAAGGGTTAACAAAATTTTCCCCACTCCTGCCTTATCTGTTTCTCTCTTAGAACTGTTTTCTGTTCTAGTCATAATTTGGTGTCTGGTTAGCTTTGATGGTTAGAGCACCATGGCTTAGTCTAGGGCAGGGGGCTTGACCTATGGTCTGTGAACTTTTTAAAATATCTTGATAACTATATTTAATATAATTAAGTTTTCTTTGAAATCCTATGAATTTTATTTTATGCATTTAAAAACAATATCCTCAGAAGGGATTCATAGGCTTCCTCAACTGTAAAAAGGGTCTAAGACACAAAAAAGTTAAGAACTATAACAAAGCATTGAAAGATTTTGTGCTAAACACCTGAATTATTTTGAGGCAACAGGTCTATTATTTGGGTTCATGATGTTAAACTCAAAAAGGACTTTTGAGAATTCTGGTCTAAGTTGGAACATTTTATTTTCAAAATCATTTGAGACTTCAGTACTTTTTTCATGTGTTTCATTATTAAATATAATTCCTAGACTTCAAAAAAAATAAGGTTTAGTGCTAGAAGGAAATTTAGAGATTGTCTAATTCAGTACTTAAATTTTACAAATAAATAAACAGATCCAGAGAGAAGTAATTTGCCAAAAGCCACACGGTTAATCCATAGCAGAGCCAGGATTAGAACAGAGGTCTTCACATTCTGTGCACTTTTCATTATAACATGTTGCAACCACAGGTGATAATCCCAGTCTTGACCAGTGGCCTTGTAAATAAACGGGTGCCCTTGGTCACAAGAATTGAGTGGTGACGTGACTGGCACAGTTTTGATTCATTTCCATGACTAGAAAAACAACTACAAGTGTGTTTCCCCATTGGTGGAGAAGGGGTTTTATCTTCATGTACAATCACAGCATGTTTATATTATATTAATATTATTGTACAGTGTCCCAAAAGTTTATATTATAGTAAAAACTACAGGTTGTCTCTTTAATGTTATTATATGGGATATCTCACAAATATTAATGCAGTTATGCTATTAAGGCTTAACTTTAATAGCTAAACTATTATTGTGTCTCTTTCATCTAAGCTTTGTGTCTCCTCTATCAGATAACATAACAGGTGATTGATAAATTTTTTTTTTTGTAAACTGAACCCATATAATTAATTTTTTTGGTTTTAATAAAAGAACCAATTTGGTTATGGAGCAGACTTAAATGTTGCCTCAAATTTTTGAACCAGAACAAGGCTAGAATATAAAAATATTTCTTTAGGTTCAAGTTCTTGCCTCTGACCCTCTCTGTCTTGGCCAAAATGTGTTCTTCATTGGTGCAGTGCACACTACAATGCATTCCAACTGTTTTAAACATATGAGCCAATGGAAGTATTGCTGTTGAGGTTTAGATGTTTAGGGGGGCTGGGACCCCAAAAAAGCCACACAAGGGTCCTGCCTGAATGAAATCGACCCAAGCCAAAAACAAAAGTTTATTAGAACACTGATTGGGGTGAGTGAGATTCCTAATGAGTCTGCACTATTGGCTAGATTTTAAGAATCTGAGCACCTTAATGGAGACAGGGTGGACCTTGTATACCAAAAGACTGTGGGAAGGATCTAGGAGTGGTCAAGTAGTCTGGGGTGACTGTGAGGAGTGGTCTAGGGAGGATCTGGATGGGAGTGGCAGTATACTGGGGTGACTGAGATAACAGAGGACCAGGTGAACAACAGGCACCTAGACCACATGGCCAAGGGAGAATGGGGTCTAGATGGTATCAAAGATGAGAAGGTAACAGACAATGAAAGGCTGGGTGGGTCAGAGGTAACAGAATTGAGAGATTGGGCATAGCCACAATGAAAGGCCAGTGGGGTTGATTATAGCTTCAGGAGAATGCTAAATAGTTCCTTGATCAAGTGGGAAAATTTAAGGAGTTCAAGGTGGGGGTTTCCAGAGCCTGTACCCCATCATTTCCC